CTTTACCAATAGACAGTTTCTCTGGTCATGAAAATTTCCAAATCAGTATTGCTGTGCCAGTACGAGTTAGAAACACGCTTCTCCTTTTTGTCATAAATTTTTGAAAGCGTCAAAATATTTATTAATTAGATTCTCATATTGCGGGAGTTGGTGTATGATAGAACAATATTGGTAAATTTATTTTTAGCACAGAATTGTGCGGTCATGGTTAAATACCATCATGCCACAACGAAACAAAACAGAAAACTACCGTTTAAAAATATTATAAAGTAATTAAACATAGCAGATACGTTTTAACTACACCAAATAAACTTTTTAGAATTCCTCAGTAAAAAATTTGTGAGTTGTCAAATGATTTTAGACATGTCATCAAATGATGAGAAGGATCGATTAAGTGTGCAATTCAGATCATTTTTGAGATAGCAGTTTATATAATCGTTGAATGTGATAGCTTGAGTTAAATCTTGTGGATGACTGTTGGCAAATACCTGTTCCGTCTTTTTTCTCTTTTGGACGGATACAACAAATAACTGCTCAAATCTGCTTTTCTGCGTACAAAAATCATGCTATTAAATTGAAGCCTTTATACCGACATAAAGCAAAATTGCTGTAAGGAAAAAACACTTTACTTGATGTTCGTGTGGAGGAGAAATGACTTGAGAGGGCAATAATTTAATATTGCTTGTGAAAGATGCCTTGTTTAACGCTGATATGGGTGGAATAATTGCAATGGTATCGTGTAGTAATTTAAGCAGCATTTCATCGTATAAATAAGTTGAGAGGTTTATGCACTATGTATCCAGATTTTGACAATACGCCGACTGAAAAGTTTTTGGTGGAAAAAACACAATTGTTAAATCCTGGTGGTTTTGTCTGTGCTGTAGATGATCAGCTGATTGTCTACCGCGGCAAAGCTTTATTTATAGATCGGACCTACGAGAGTCTGCAAAATGTTCCTGTGCTCTGTGCACAGTTCTTAACAAAGCACTTCGGTATTGTGCATGTTCCAAAAAAATAATACCAGTTGCAGTAAAAAATAATCAGACAACATCTCTACACCGACATTCCATATCACTATGTGTACCAGAACAGTCGATGGGTATTGCGACAGCAGGGTGAGGACAAAGTCATTACAAGATTGTATGCGGTCAATCCAGAGGAAAAGGAGAGATTCTATCTGAGAATGCTCTTGCTCAATGTGAGAGATGCAACGTCATTCGACGACTTAAGAAGTGCAAACAATGTTGTATATGGCACATTTGAGGAAGCAGTAAGGGCAAGAAATCTTCTGCAGGATGACAGTGAATGGAAGAACGTGCTGAGCGAAGCTGCAATGACAGAGACATCTGACACATCAGAAAGCTGTTCGCATACATCTGTGTGTTCAACAGACCGCATGATGCACTTGGGCTGTTCAACGACTATGTTGACGATACGTGCGATGACATCGTTAACGAGATATATGGTGATGTGGCCAACATGGCTGACAGCGAAGATCTGACGAACAGAACTATACTCACAACAAACAACGATGCTGCAAAGGAAATCAATGACAGGGTCCTTGACTTGATGATCGGCAACGAAGTAACATACACGAATGCAGACTCTATTGTCACAGAAGACAATGATGTTGTTGCGAACTATCCGTTGGAGTTTCTCAACAAGTAGCAGCCTTCAGGAATGCCACCGCACAAGTTAGTTCTAAAAAGAGGTGCGTTGATAATGCTATTGCGCAACCTTGATCCAGCCAATGGCCTGCTCAATGGCACACGCCTGGTGGTTGATGAACTCCACACAAACTTCATCATAGCTACTATTGTGACCGGATCCAGGAGAGGTGGCAGGGCAGTCATACCAAGGATCGACATGGCACCGAGCGAGACACAGCTGCCATTCATACTCAAGAGAAGACAGTTTCCGGTTCTTCTTTCGTTTGCGATGACAATCCACAAGTCACAGGGTCAGTCATTTGACAAGGTAGGTGTTTATCTGCACAGCCCAGTCTTTGTACATGGTCAGTTGTATGTAGTTCTGTCGAGAGTGCGCTATGCAAACGGTCTAGGGGTGTATATTGCTGACAATGGAGACCAAGGAAAGCATGAGAATGGTAAAGTATACACTAGAAATGTTGTATACAATGAGCTACTGGAATGAATGAAAATAAATTTATTGATTTGTAACCACAGAACAGTTGGTAGAAAGGAATGACCTGGTGTTGCAGTTATACTCAAAAGCGTTGTTTTGGTATACTATTCATTCATACACCCGTTTTGAAAAACAAGCAGTGCAGCTAGTGATAATAGAAATACTCGGTTAATGTTATGTGAGGTGATAAATAAACGTACTTTAAGAAAATACCAATAGTAGAAGTGGTAGTAGAATGGTGTAAAACATGTTCTACACAATTCATGTTTTTAAAACTGACTTTGCATATTTACAAAACCAAGCGCATCTTGTTGAGTGCGTAACATGTCTTCGTGTTTTTATACATCGATCTCATCGGTAAAAAATACTATTTTATCCCCTGCAATGCAACTTGATGTAATGACTACAGACAAGCGGCTGTACACCATTCCAGAAAAGATGGTAAATGACTGCATCCTTTTCAGAGACATTGTAAATATGACCGATCAATGCTCACCAATTAACATTCTCATGCATTCCTCCGTTTTAGAGTTTATAATGGGATTCTCAGAAATAAACACGATAAATCTACCGGAGAATTACGATGCTACACAGATAGTGTTCCCTCAGGCAGTTTTTGATTTTATCAACAGCCTTGATTTCCCGACTTTGAATGATATATGCACAGCAGCTAACTATCTTTACTATCCTGCACTGCTTGAGCTGTATTGCAAGGTTATCTCTAAGAAGTTACGGGACATAGAGGTTGTGAGTGGTGAAACGGCCAATGAGTTAACGTGGATATCATCGGATGAAGATTCTTAGATTGTATGCATGCGTAGGAAACGCTAGTTTGATGTGAATAAATGATAGATGTGAAAAATGTAATGATAAATTTATGCTTGTGCGGTTTAAATAAATAAGATACAGATGCGTTCTAGAATGTTTTTGTATAGGAATATCATATAATTTAAAAGACAACCTGCAATGTGATTGTTCAGTTCTGAAAAATTAATTATTTGACCCTTCGAGAAAAATAAAAATCTTTGTTTTATGTATTTGCGTTGAATAAGGTTTAAAGTTGTCGTACAACTCATTCTTTCTGAGATGCTCTCAATTGTTCTCCACTAACAACATCAAAATCACACGATCACCGAATAGTAGCTAATTAATTAACCTCTACCATAAAATCTTAAACAATAGAAAAAACATAATACGAGATATGACAAGAAGAAAGTATCATTGAATGGATAGAGCACTTTTTACCGTTTTATAAATGGAAATAGCGTAGCTAGTTTTAATGAAAAAGACAGAAAAGATTAAAATCAACAATAACTCTAGTCAACGTACCTCGGTACGTAATACTTTTATCTTAGCATTGTTATCGTATATGCATACACATCACTTGCAGTATCTCCATTTCAATTGTTTCTTTCTATGCATGTAGATGTGCAAACATCCCATGCTACTTAGCACGTTCATAAAAAAGGAGTCTTTCAATAAATCCGCTAATTGGTAAACTAAAATAATTCGATTTTTCTCCTTTATCAACGTGGCGGTAAAAAACCGGTGCAATTTACGAACCCCTGAAATGGTGCTGTCATACATACCAAGCGTTCTTCTATTTCCAATCTACATGGTATGCCTAATATCCGTCATGTTCGTCACCAAAAACACCTCAGAATTGCTTTTCAGTAGATTTTCGCTGCAAAACAATTTAATAAGAAGTACGTATGATCCTGAAGCAATGATCTACATCGTTGATGGTGCGGATGACAGCAGGAGAATTTCTGACCATTTAGGCAAAATAGAGTATATTGATCTTAGAGACTGGAAATTTTTACCAAAAGGTAATTTTAACATTACGGCAAAAAAAGGATACAATTTCGTATTTTTGTACGAGGATAGCGCATCCATGATGCCTACAAAGGTGATTTTCTTGAAACAAGCACCCGATAAGAAAATGAACTTTGCAGAATTGATGGGATTTATAGGGAACAACAAGGAGGAGAACGATATAGACGACATCAAATCGCTAAACACCATGCTTTATCTCTCGCTATACGGATATATGGACCATTTTTCTATATCAGTGCTCAATAATGCCGTGATGGGGTACATCAACCACGATATCTATTTTATTATACGGGTAAATTCTCCATTAACAAAGCTAAGAAAGGAGGAGGACGAGAAAGTGTTATATCCTATCCTGGCAAGGCTAATAAGAGCAACAATACTGGCGAAGAATGAAAACAAGACGTATATGGTACAATTTCGAAACAAGGATTTGAACATCAAAACTTTTTTGTTTTTCTACACACGAAAGAGAAACGAGCAGGCTAAGAAAATATACGAAGAGATCATTAGGAGTGAATTGAGCTTTGAATTGCCTGAGGTGCAAGTTGATTGCATCAGTAAGTGGAAGAATATGGACTACGAGCAGGAGTTGATCAGTAGAAGGAGCAAAATTAGGTTTATTGGATAATGTCAATGTGAAAGGCTGCTGTCTAATATGAGATCTGAACGATTATTGGTTAAAAAAGTCAATTGGATGGCTTTCTTCATGATATATGCCGGTTGTATAGTTTGAGAGGATATTTATTAGTTCAAAAGACAAGTTCTTCGTGTTGACTTGTTTCATATTCTTTAAAATAGTTTTTTAAACGGTCGGTTCCACCGATTTTGGCACCAAGCGCTTGGATATTTTGTGAGAAATCCATTATTTTCCTACGTTTACTTTCGACGGGTTTAACGAACTTACTATCACCAACACTTCTATAAATGAGCATTTGCATTCGTTAGAAACAATAAAAATCACATTTTTTGTTCTAATACAAGAAAATTGCGCGCTATTTTTTATTGTCGTGCTTTTTCACAGCTAAACGGTTTTTTGCTGTTTTTACAACAACTCAACGAAGCGATTTGATCGTGTTTCCAATATGCCAAATACGGTAGCCATTAACTCTTGTATATCTATCTATAATTTCTTAAAGGTCTAAGAAATGTTTATTATTACGATTAGCTCACCAAAAAAACGTACGAGCAATCGATAACTTGTCAAATAGTTTTTTAGCTATTGTTCTCGCTATGATTTGAAGAGAAATCTTACATTTCCAGTATTTTCTACGCGAATTAGGCATACTCTAAGTTCATAAATTGACCCGAATAAATAGCTGCAAGATTTCAATAAATCAAATATCATACTCAGACCACATGTAATTCTTTCTCTTTTTTTGTAAGCTGCATGTCACCTTCCCATACAACAACGCTCGGACAATGCACTTTTTTGTCTGTTTGGATCGATCGCGGACACCACCCCTATCACGTATTTATCAAAATAATTTCCAACGTCGATGAATTTCTGTCATTCTGGTCCGAATTAGGAATCTTTACCAAAAAATTTAGTACTGTTAGAATAGTTTCGAAAGCGTTACGCCAAAAGAAACTAACATAAATACTTCCACGGTCTTAAGTTTGGATGAAAGTTGAACATTTCCGTTTCTGGTAAAATAGCTAACTTTGGGGTATAAATCGGCAAAATAGTGCCATATTCGATAATTCATACAAATTGCCACCAACATAAATATTTCTAATTATACTAATAAGATTTATTCTGACTACTACGATTATCAATGAACCAGGTAATATCTACGTTTAATTTCTGCGAGCAGGATGCAAATGTCTGTCCGACATACACCGAAACTAAAAGGATAAATGAGCGTGTTCTTGGTACCGATGAAAACCTTTTATCTCATTCTCGGTTTCCGGTATGTCTATTGCGCCTCCCCTACTAATTTACTTTTGTGTGAAATACATTTATGGTGAGCGGCTCTAGCAGCAACCTTTTTACCAAAACGATTTATTCACGCGCTCCTGGTGTAAAAACATGCAGTGATTGATCAGCCATGTAATTCAACATTTCTTCGGCATGCCATCAATCACAAGTCAGAGACTTTCTCTGTTTAAGGAATGAAGTGATTTTTAAAAAACAGTGTCTAGAAATAGAAGGTGTCAAAACTAATCGCTAAAAACAAAAGTATAAAAGGCTGAACTACCATCGGGATATGAATATAAGATGGATTGTGTGTTTCAAAGGTGACGATAACCATAATAACACTCTTTTGTGCACCGATTTAGGTGAGGTAAAATTGAAAAATGTTTTTTCGGAGATTTCTGAATCAACGGAAGGAATTTTGACGAAATTCGTGATTAGTGACTATGACAGCACCAAGGATCCTCTTAATATTCGAGAAACTCAGCATAACCCAAGTTGGAACGATGACACGGCCGATGCATGCGCTCAGGGCTGCAAACAAATTAAATACCGCACGATAACAGTTCCGGTCGGCAAGTCTCTGTTCATGGAGGTAATTCATCTAACACCGTACACCCAAACCAATTTTACAGATGCAGAGGTGTGCGATATACTTGAACATCTTCTAATATTTTTGGACAATAAGAAACTGATCTTACGCGCCCTATGCCAACAGATGGCGCTGGACTGTGGATTATACGACCGCATTAATTCATTATTATTGGGACTGCGCACAGAACCCGCCCAATTGCATTCTAAGTTGCTCGATTTAGCGTTGGAAATAGGCAAGCATATTTGTTTGTCTGTTAAGGACCATCGCGGTAATGCCATGCTGGCCTTGAATGAAGAGGATATCAACGAGCGGTTGCTCGTTGATATCAACCTGAGCGAAATAAACCGATTGTTCGTGCCTACAGTTCTGATTACCAGCAGTGATTTTTTGGTTCACAACGACGACTCCTTATGTGAGTTGTACGCGAACAAGCAGAGTGACTGCGAATTTACCGTAGACATAGAACTGCCCGTTCTACCATCCGATACAGCTGCACAGAGACTGAGCGAGGTGTTGATGTGCCGGTTTCTGGCACTCGACAGTACAAAGAAAATTGTTATTCGATTCAGAGGACTGGAATGCGATTTTAATCTCAATTTTATACATGGCAAAGAAATACGTGCCGTATTCGAGAATTGCACGTTAATGCGCGGTTCCTGTTCGCACATCAATTTGAAGGAGCTCACGATCGTGAACTCTAAGATTACTGCATCACTGGTTCTACCGGACGGAATGGAGAAGGTAACGTTAAAAAACGTAAACGTTGCTGCGAACGGCAAATTACGGCTCGGACGTAATTGCAAAACCGTAGTCATGAGGAATGTTTCAGGTAATATTTGCGTTCCCTATTTGCAGCAAAATTTTTGTATCGAATTCAATTCTCAGTGGTCATTTGAACTGAGTGGACATGATGATGAACACATCGGCAGATTGCTCATAGAAAACGTTACAATCAGCGGTCTATTGGTAGTAATAAATCAGAGCGTGCACACGGTCATCCTGAAAAACATCATTTTGCCATCAAACTCAATTCTTTTGGTGCAGAAAAGCGTTAAGGAGCTTCTTTTGGAAACGTTTTTAGGCACAGTCCATTTGTATGGCGCTGTCCAAGCGTTCGGTCCTATCTGTGTGGAAGTGTTTGATGGAAAATTGAAAGTGGAAGAATCAGGAATCGGTAAACGCACAAAAATTGCGTTAGAACGCGCCAAATTAACAAAAAATGCACATCTAGACAAGAAAATATCACACGTAGACCTATGCGATGTTGAAATTGCAGCAGGTTGTTCTCTCAAACTGCACGGCAGCGAGCAACATATTTCGTTGAAGAACTGCACCGGAACAGTCTTCTTCGCTAACATCCCCGGTTTTGAACAGATCAAGTTTGGTAGGACGTTGCAAGCGGAAGACCACCTCGGTGTAATTCCTGTGCAAGTATTTTTGTGTACTAGAACAGTTATGGGCAGAATGTCCCGGCTAGTTCTGCATTTCTTACAATTTGAAGAAAACGTGCGTCTTTGTGATAATACGAAGGACATCATCCTCAAGAACATCGAAATTCATGATGAGTACTCTCTCGTAGTTGGCAACAACTTTGAGCAGCTCACGCTGCAGAATTGCAGGGGACGGGTTGTAATCCCTGGTGTATCGTTTAGCGAGGGCAAACAAACAGGCTTGCTGTTGAATGGCGGCCAGATACGAATTGTGAGGTTACCGGATGATATTTACGATATTACAGCGGAAAACATTCAATTTACGGGTGATCTTGCATTTGCAATGAGGGTGCATGCCGCCGAGATATGTAACGCAGGAATGTGTGCCGACTCCACCATTACATTTGCAAATGAATGCCAGAGCTTGAATTTACAGGGCAACGTAGCATGCATTCGTGTTTTAGCGGCCACAACATTGAAAACACTGAGTCTGCGCGGTACCGATGTATCAAATAACTCGCAGCTTCTGGCAGTTCCTGTAGAGCGGTTTACAGCGGAAAATGTCACCATGCACCACAGGACGATGTCTCGGGCAGATGTGCCCTCCGTATTGACCAGCTTGAACATCGCAAACCGCTCCACGATGGTGAGCATCACAAATACGAATGTTCCAGTCAACATAACGAGCATTGTGCGACACGTTATACGTGGCGAATCGCCGTTGCTTACCACACCAGACAGCGTTTTCTGCTTGAACGAAGATCCTTCGGTGCAGTTGAACGAGTTGCACCTTGCACATTTCCATGTGCACAGCAACTTGGAAATCGTACGAGAAATTCTGTCGCTGTCTCTGAAGGAAATTACTGCTGGCAGCAACTCAACTATACGTGTGAACAAGGAACTGGAGAGCATAACAATCGATAACTGCCTCGTAAATATTGATTTTACGGAAACGCGTGGGCTGAGATCAATCGTGTTATCGAGAACAGCTCTCATCTACAACCAAGTGCTTCATCTACCGATAAGCTACCTGAGCCTTTCGAGCGTTGTTATTGATCAGAACGTGAGTCTCAACGAATGCGTCAAAACTGCCAAACTTAAAGACGTGAGGATCGAGAAGGATTACACGTTCAAGGTGAACAGGAATATTCATGAGCTGGACATCAGCGGTTCGGTAGGTATTGTTAATATGTCTGGGATAGGAGGCCTTGACAGCATGGTCCTGGAACAAAAACACCAAATTCGAGTTATCAACGGCAACACGCCAAATGTAACCTTCTTATACATCAGCGATTACCATTTTAATAACAATATGGTGCTGCCAAACGACATAGGAACCGTGTTTTTGCGAAATGTTAACATACCCTCGGATCATAAGCTGGTACTTGGAAATAACTGCCAACACATGGTAATCGAATCATCACACGTGCGTACTGAGCTGAGCCGGTTGACTCTTCTCAAATCAGTCATTCTGAAAAGAATGCAACCCGCAGTGTTAAAAACTGTCTTGGCCATGTTTTCATCCGTCAGTAAAATAATAGTGCTGGATATGGTGGTGTATAGCGGTACGGTATTATCAATCGGTGCAAACATCGTGGCCGTACGGCTTCAAGGGGTTACGTGTTATGGCGAATTCCGAGATGGCGAAAAATGCAGTGAGATTAGTTTGCTTCACTGTTCAGGTAAATACGATTTTTCGAAGGTTGCACTGCTCAAGAAGCTGATACTAATCCCAATGCTGGAGAAAACGCATCCCTTCGTTGTTGTGTTCCCGCCTCTTGGTCACGTTGAAGACCTCGAGATCGCCTACAATTTCGCAGATGCTTACTTTAAGGATGTTTTATTGAAGTGTGTGAATCTTCAACGATTGATCATACACGGATTATGTCTCAGTGATACAAATCCAGCGTATTCCACCCCAATTTTTCCAAATGAAGTGTTCCACATACCGATAAATGATTGGCAGCTGGAGGAAAAGTTTACAAGCTATTCTGCACGGACCGAAAGGATGTATAACCAGGAAGAAAAGAAGGAGATCATGAACCTAAAAATGAATGCTCTTGTAAAAATAGTTTTTGGTGTAAACATGTACAGCAAGTTGAAGAGTCTGAAATTACTCGGCTTTGGCTTGGATGGGGATAATGTGGAATTGCTGAGGAAGTTTAAAGCACTTCAAACGCTTTTTGTAGACTACGATTTTAGTGATAAAATGCTATTCGCACATTTGCCAGCCGGTCTTATGACGTTGGAAATAACACGCAGGAAGAACTTGGTCTGTGTAAACCCTGAACCAAAAACATTTGATCCGATCGCTCTTGAACACCTGAAAAAACAAAAAAACCTCAGAAATTTAAGTCTCTGCGGAGTATTATGTGCAGATGGAAACATTCTTCAGTATTTGCCCGCTAAATTGCACGTGCTCAAGGTGACATGGTCGCCTGTTAAGGCTTTTAACAAATTTGACGGGAACATCACCAAGAGAATCGTCAAAAAACTTATTTTATTTTTGAACGATGACTTTAACAACGTAGGCTTTGGTGGCAATTTGATTCGAAAACAATGCCGTGATGTTTTCAACTACTTAGGTCAGTTCATCCTATTTGATGCTTTGGAGGAACTGGTGGTGGAGAAGAAACATAAGATGGTGAGTATTAATCCAAAAACATTCAAAATCAAATAAAACATTTTTCGTGCCAATGCGCCTTTGAAGGGCCTTGTTTCGTACAATCTCAACACAGAGCTGTGGAAAATAGGCTAATGCTCCAGCTCGGGTAGGTCTCAAGCTGCATATTGGATGGTATGTGTTTGAAAGGTGTTAAACAAAGGGCATGATAACCGTTTCAAGGTGATAATTCTCTCACGGATGGCGCTGAGGCATTTTCAGCAACTCAAGTTATTTCGTTTACCGAGCTACCATTTAGAATAGACAACACTACGAGATGAATATCCCTACAAAGTGCTATCACATCTGTTGTAGCCCTCACATATTGCCCATACACTCCCTTATCGTTGTATCATACGCCCCCACAAACTATCCTATCAACGGTTACCAACCAAAACCTAATTTTATTAATTTTCATACCCCATCCAAACCTTCACACCCAAGCACAAAACAACACAACCATCAAAAAGGATAAATTTAATTCATTCCACACAAAACAAAACACTCTTCACCGATCAACCGCATTTTCACACCCCCCCATCCACAAAAATAATTCCGAGTAAATTAACAAATTCAACCCTTTAAATACCAAAATTTTTATCAAACCATCAAAAAAAGAAACATGCGAAAGGATGATACGAGCGATGAGAGCACAGATAGAGCAAGTAGCCGTGCGTTGCAGCTTATGAAACGGATCGAAAGTGTTGGTAATGGCTGGTTGCGGCAGCATTATGTTAGGGAGTTGGGGGAGGTGCTGGTCGAGGGAGTGTGTGAATGTGAGGATGTTAAGGGTGTAATTGATCAGATTGAGGGCGAGGAGCGAGAAATGAATGGGGCTGACCAGGAAATGAATGAGGTGGATGAAAGTGCAGCAACGAACAAAGATGCAAGGCTAAGAGCAAAGCAGAAGACCGGAACAGAAGGCGCAACGAATGAAGATGCAAGGCTAAGAGCAAAGCAGAAGACCGGAACAGAAGACGCGAAGTCAAGGGCAAGGCAAGGATCGCAGCAGAGAAATAAACCAAGAAGAAGCAGCACGGCCCAGAACACAAAACAAGAAAGCGTGCAGGAGGATGAGCAAGAATTGAACAGCAAAGAGCAAAACGGTCCAATCACCAAACCATCAACCAACAGAGTGCTGCTCACCTTCCTCAAACTAATCCACACACTCTCCAAAGATCCCAAGCAAGAAAAGCGTACGTGTGCACATCTGCTTGCGCACCACCTGCCCTGTCTCATAAAACTTGCCGTGCCAGCGTTCACAGTGCACAAGCCCACGGATGCGCCGTTGTACAGCACCGACCAGCACAATTACTACGCAGCCGAGCAGCTCAAGATTTCTGATCAGAAGCGGATGATCAGAAAGACACTGGGGATGGAAACCGATATGGTGAGGAAGGACATCGTAGTTGAGAACGATATACGGATGGAGAGGATGGAGGTGGTTAAGAGGCGGAAGCGCATTGATAGGAGGGTTGAGGATGTGTGCACGTTTTTTGAGTGCTTGGAGAGCGGAATGGTAGAAATGGATTGGAAGGAGCGGGAGGGGTGCTTTTCGGTGTATTGCGGGATATTTGAGGGTATGAGGGTGCGCGTGGATGAGTGTTGCGGAGAGAATGGCGCTAGTGCCGATGTTAACAGCGGGTGCATTTATTCCGCCAATGGCACGGTTGATGGTACCGCCGGCAGTACCTGGTCCGGTAACGCTCGTCTCGACCCCGGCACCAACACCTGCACCCCTACGAGTGCACTGCCATACACCCACGCAATCTCATCGTCCCTCCTACAAACAACCGTAAACATTCTCTACAACGATAAATTCTCAGACTATCAATCGGACCGCACATCACTTCCAGTAAGACAGGCAGCAGCACATCTGCTGTCCTTCATCTACCAAAAAGATGTGCTTGACCAGCTGTTCATGTTCCTAGATCATCCCGATTGGGAGGTGCAGTGCAGCGCACTGCTAGCGCTCAAAAGCGTACAGGAGTACCTGAGCGCGACAGACAAGAAGGACGTAGCACTGTTCCTGCTCACGCTGCTGGAGAGTGAGGATGAGGATGTAAAGTACATGGCGGCCGATATGCTCGTGCATTTCAGGGATGTGGTAGGAGATGTGAGGGTCAAGATGGTTGTTGATGAGGGTGTAAGTAGGCTGGGCATTGTTAGAATGATGGAGTGCTACTGTGTGAGAGTGGATGATGGGCTGAGTGTGGATGGGTGTTTTAGGAGTGAGATGGTTGAGCTTAGGGTTGCTGTGCTTAGGTACCTTTGTACGATGTTTAGAAGGGGGCTGGTGTATGATAGTGGTAGGGGGAGTGATGTTGTTAGTGTAGGAAGTGAGGATAGGATGGGTAAGGGGGATAAGAAGGGTACGGGCGGGAGCGAAAGCAGAAATGAGGGCAAGAGCAGAAATGAGGGCAAGAGCAGGAATGAGAGCAAGAGCAGGAATGAGAGCAAGAGCAGGAATGAGGGCAAGAGCAGGAATGAGGGCAAGAGCAGGAATGAGGGCAAGAGCAGGAATGAGGGCAAGAGCAGGAATACAAATAACAGCAATGAAGCACCGCCTGGTATCACAATCCATCACCACTACACACACTTCATAAATCTTCTCATTCAAAACCTACTCGTAGAAGAAACTCAATCACTAACATTCCTTACCTTCCACATTCTCGCGTACTACCCCATCAACCACGTAGCATCATACGCACCGCTGACACTCAAACCGTTGAACTACGTGTTTAAAAACACCGATTTTAAGAACACCTTGGAAATGATCGATAACTCGTTTTTTAAGGGAGGGGTTGAAAGTATGGGAAGGGAGAAGGTGCTGGGGATGAGGATGCGGTATTTTATGTATTTTATTTATTTTGAGGTGAGGATGGGCATGGAGAGGGAGTGCGAGGATGAGCGTGATCTTATGCGCTATGGGACACGTTACGGCAGGTGTAGGGATGGAAATGATTGTAGTGAGGATGGTAGTGAGGATGATAATATTAATAATAATAGCAACATTGGCACGGTAATAGGTAACATTTCGTTTTCAGATGCACCGTTCACCGTCATACAAGCATTCCTCCTTTCTGTCCTGTACAAAACAACGTACCGCTCCGCAAAAGTACCGTTCACTACCCCCCAGATCAAGCAAAACGAATGGAACGAAAAACTGAAGTGCCCTTCCCAGCAGAGCGTATTTCACGTGGTGAACGAACATTTTTTGGATTTGCTTAGGTACGCGTGTTTTAACGAAGACTGGTTTTATAATGAGTGGTTGGCTGTGGAGGAGAACGATTCGGTGGTTTGGTGGTACGTTTACTTTTTGGTACGGGATGGCAAGGGATTGCTCTATGGGGTTGATGAGGACCCTGAAAATGGGGCTGGTGGAATTGAAAAGGGGGTAAAGAATGCTGGCGAGGACCCAAAGAATAAAAATGGGAGCAGCACCGCTAAAAACGGGAACAGAATCAAAAAATGCATAAAGGGCACGGGCAACAACGAATGTGGTACGGCCGGCACGATAGATCTAGGTACCCTCCAGAGAATGAACATGTCCGTTCTAATACCATCCATCATACAACACGCCAATGCCTCGTTCCTACGTTCCTTCTTCAAGCATTTAAACACGAATTTCTATAAAATTGAGAATTACCATGCATTACTGCGCAACACGAGCATACGCGTGCTGAGCATCGTTGCTCAGCACATAAAGGAGGAACGCATCGTATGCGACAGAATAATTGAGGAGCTGCACGATGGTGAGGATGGAATGGAGGAGCTGGTACGGTTGGTTGATCAGTACATGTTTACATCGTACGGTGAGCGTATTGTTAATGCGGTGCTGAGGAGAGGGCTCAACGTGAGGATGGTGCGCGTGTTCGAGAAGGTACGGTTTAACGAATGGTTTGTGCTTTTGGTACGGCCTTTACTGCGATTTATAAGTCTTAAGGACTCGTTTGGTGGCCCAGCTGGGGATGGAAGGGCTGATAATGCTGAAGCAACGAATACGTCACATTCTGCAAACACGCCATGCTCGGCAGATAGCGTGTCAGAAACGGTCACCGCCGGTTACAAGCTGTTCTCTAACATCGTGCCATACATACAGACCGTTAAATCGCCACATGTTCGTATCGCAACGGAACTGTCCGTGCTGTCCGTTCTTACCAACCGTGCCAAATTGCCTAAAATTGAAATACGCTCGTGTGTTACGTTGAGGAAGTACCAGGTCAAGGGTGTGTATTGGTTGAACTTTCTTTATTTGTTCGGTATTAATGGCATACTGGCAGATGAGATGGGACTGGGAAAGACTGTGCAGGTGTTGGTGTTCCTATTTTCTAAGATTGATGAAATTGTGAGAAGGAGTAGGAGGATTGAGGATGGGGTTGAAGATACGGTTGGAGTTGAGGATGGGGTTGAAGATACGGTTGGAGTTGAGGATGGGGTTGAAGATACGGTTGAGGATCAAATTACAAATCAGATCGAGGATGCATGTGTCAACACAAACAATACTGATAACGAAAAGAACGCTACCTTTAAAACAAGTAGTACTCATCCTAGCACATCGTTCCTTATGAACCATAAAATACTCATCGTGTGCCCGGGTTCATTAACGGGTCATTGGTGCAACGAAATAAAAAAAATAAGTAAAAAGTACGAGGGGCGTATCTACACCAGGAAAGAGAATGTGCTCTCATTCATAACAGTCATAAGCTACGATACGTACAGACACGCACACAAGGCATTCGCAGACGAGGTGTTCTTCTACGTGGTGTTCGATGAGGGGCACATTCTGCGCAACGTGGATACGGTGCTATACCAGAAGATAAGTGCACTACGTGCACTGAACAAGCTCATACTGAGCGGTACACCCGTGCAGAACAGCATAAACGATCTGTTTGCGCTGTTCAACCTGTTGATGCCGTGCTATCTCGGTGATAAGGATGAGCTGAAGGAACGTGAAAGGAATATAAGAAAGGGAAAGGATAAGAACTGTGGAGAAGAGGACGTAAGAAGAATGGAGAAGGAGTTGCGGATGGTTAGGAGAAGGGTTGGTCCGTTTGTGTTGAGGAGGTGCAAGAAGGACGTTGTGGTTGATCTGCCCGATAAGATTGTTAAGGATTTGGTTGTTGTAATGGGTGATGAGCAGAGGAAGGTGTACGACTGGTTAGTGAGTGCTGATAGGGTTAGTACTGGGGACAGTGAGGATGAAAGTGGTAGAAGAGGAATTGTTGACAGTGGTACCGGGAAAAGAACAAAAATAGAAAAAAGTAATGGAGCGGTACCTACGTTGAATACACCTGCTGACAGCACGGTTGATAGTGCACCGAGTGCGGTGTCATACAGGAATATAAGCGCGTTTAAAAAGGCTAAGGACCTGATCAAGTGCTGTAGCAGTGCATCGTACATACGGGAGAATGTCAAGCAGAGCTGTAAAATGGATGCGCTAAGGGACCTGTACGATACCTTGAACCGGACAGACAGCAGAATATTGATATTCTGCCAGCTGAAGAAAAGTATACGTCTGATCATCGACCAGCTGTCCTTAAAAAGCTATCTGATACTGGACGGGCAGACACGTGACAAATCAAACGTGGTAAAGAAATTTATGACCGGTGAGTACAAAACACTGCTGCTGACAACGAGCACAGGTTCGCTCGGCCTGAACCTGTGCATTGCTGACACCGTGATATTCTTTGAACACGATTATAACCCGTTCAACGATTTGCAGGCAATGGATAGGGCACATAGAATAGGACAGAGAAGGACTGTCAGTGTGTACAGGTTGATTGTTAAGGATACGGTTGAGGAGCGGATTATGAATCTGCAGGAATTTAAGAAGTTTGTGGCTGGGAGTGTTATTAAGAGGGGTACCGGTGAGTTTGGGGGTGATGTCAGTGGCGAGAGCGGTGTAGAGGGGATTTATTAGGCGGTTGAGGGTGCGAAGAGGGAATGGTGAAAAGGAGCAGTAGAGAGAACAAACCGCGTTCATTAACAGTTATTGATGAGTTGCCATCCCTGTGCATCGCTACATACGCTCTTGGTGCATTTTGGGCCCTTCACCACGATTGATCAGCAGTGCTTGATCATTCTTTAATAAATGTCTTAGAAATGAAGAGAGCGCTTATTTACAGAATTATATTTTGGTGTGCACCATGCTTTGTAATGGAAGGTTAGTGCATGGTTAGGTGCGTAGAAGAGTGAATTGCTGTTATTTACCATTGGAACGGTGTAAGAATGGCATTCTTCTTTGGAAGAATAAATGGTGTTCACCATTTAATGTTGAGGGATTGTACCGTTGAAATGTTTTATTTTTGTGCCTTTGCTGCTTGGTAATGGGAATTGTACAGAGGGTGTGGTTAAAGGTATTGTAATTACGTTGGTTTTACGATTTCTTTTACGTTTTTCAATCATTTACGTTTTTACCATTTCTTTTACGTTTTTACCATTTGTTTTACGTTTTTACCCGTCCTACACATCCCTACGTCCTATCAATCCCACACATCCCTACGTCCTGTCAATCCCACACATCCCTACGTCCTATCAATCCCACCCATCCCTACGTCCTATCAATCCTACATATCCCTACGTCCTACTCAATCACCTCTCTCTTTATTAAATCATACAGTACAATAAAAAATAAAAATTACAAATAAACAAACGATGGACCGCTTCCTAAACCATCCCTCAGATCGCTCACTCTCTCCCATCAAGGAGCACGCACCTCCCACCACGCTCTCAGAGCCGTTTCGCACCGTGCACGTGTCAAACCTGGCAGACGACTTCTACAGCAACCATCTCGACTGGCACCAGAGCACGTTGATGTTTGTGTGCGAGAACAAAATCAAGCTGATGGACTTCTACAGCAACAGAATAACGGACCTGAAGAGCTTTGGCAGTGCGACCGTGACGTGCGTGAAGTTTGGATCGGACGGTAAGTGCGCAATTGTGGGAACGAGCAACGGCAACTTGCACATCGTAGACATGTGCACGCGGAAGACGAGCAAGTTTAATGTGCACCGTAGCAGGATTGGCACCGTAGAGTCGAAGGACAACATTCTGGTGACGGGCAGCAGGGACAGGCAGACCAAGTGCATGGACATGAGGAGCAAGCACATATCGTTTGCGGTGGAAAAGCACGTGCAGGAGGTGTGTGGCGTGCGGATGAATAGGAGTGCAACGATGCTGGCATCGGGTGGCAACGACAACAAAGTGTTTGTGATGGAGATGCGGAACTTGAAGAGAGAGGTGAAGATCTGTGCGCACAGAGCAGCTGTCAAGGCGATAGATTGGAGCAAAGGAAGTGATTGGATGATGGTGAGCGGCGGTGGAACGGCCGACAAGATCATAAGAATTTGGAACGTGTACGGCATAGCGGGCGGCAGCAACGAAAACAGCAACCACGTGCACACGAACAGAGCGCACGGCATGGAACCGCCGTGCACGACCGATAAAATGCTCGTGAAGGCGCAGTCGTTCAATTCGCAGGTGTGCAACGTGTACTGGTCATCGACCAACAAAATACTTTCAACACACGGATACTCCAAAAATGATGCTCGGATCAGCAATTTATCACTGCGTACAACAAATGTGATGTGCTCCCATAAGAACAGGGTCATACACTTCGCGGTTAATGAACGGCTGGGATGTTTTGTGACGGGCAGTGCGGATAATAAGCTGTGCTTTTGGAGAATGGAGGACTTTGAGGATGTGGGCATGTGGTTGAGGTGATGTAACAATAAAATGTATTATTTTGGATTTGTGTTATTGTATGGATGGGGAGATGGGGAGATGGGGAGATGGGGAGATGGGGAGATGGGGAGATGGGGAGATGGGGAGATGGGGAGATGGGGAGATGGGGAGATGGGGAGATGAGGAGATGAGGAGATGAGGAGATGAGGAGATGAGGAGATGAGGAGATGAGGAGATGGGGAGAATACGTGTATGGATGAGAAGAATACGTGCATGGATGAGGAGATGAGCACATAAACAAAAATTTGGTGAAACAGCGGTAATGCTCTATCCGATCGTACGACAGGTGCAAGCGATACGATACGGTGGTCTTAACGTTAATTATTGTGTGATGCAAATGCTTTGTTCTCTGCGGTGAACGATACGGCCATTCAATGCCGTTCATGGTACTACGACAAGACCGATTCGTTCATTTCAGAACGAAACAAAAGCTCCAAACATTTAAAACAACGCGCCACTTCACCGCATGCCGTGTTCGAGCAGCGACCAATCAATTTTTAGCAAAAGTAACCGCTTAAACGCTTCACTGTGTCTTAGCTCAGCGCACGTGGTGAGTCATCCTGGTTAGCTCCCTGTGGAGTGCTCAACGCTAACCTATCGTACCACGACATGCCTTGCAACATTAAACAGACCTTTTCTCCGCAACCGTACCGATCATTGTCCGTAACGCTTGCCGTTTTGAACCAATCAGTGATGCACTCGGTCTCTCAGCCGTACATCTCATCGTTCTGTTCGTGAAACGGATCTTTTCGCTGTGTTTTAACCGTAAGCGTACATTTCTGCCATAAATACGGTCTTATGCCCGCCATTCGCGTTCTGGAACGGCAACGATGCTAAGAGACTGCACGGTTCTACCATTCAAGACATGGCGTGCACGCTTAGACGAGTAATTGCTCGTGATCGTTGTTGTTGATCAGGAGATGGAGCAACGGTTCCATTCGTGCATCGCTGCAATTTTTGGCAGTAGTTGCTCACATCATGGACACGGTGCTAATTTATACTGGGCATGCTTACCTGGCAGGTGCTGCCTGGTTGCGGTATACCTCTCTACCGGGTGTGTGTGCAAATCGAGGCGTGCACAGACAGGTGGTACTGAACCATTCGTTCTTTCGAGTCATTTGAAAGAATAAAACGGGCATCGGTAGAACAAATGAACCGCCCATACGAAATGAATCATAAGGGAAAAAAGGCGGTGCCATTCAAATGAAACAACTTAAGACGGTAGCTGAGTCATTTTTGTATCACAATTAGTAGAAATAAATAAAAAAATCACAATTTTGCGATAAAATGAAAATACGCAGCTCGGATAGCCGCGATCTGGAAATGTGCCGCATGGCACGTTGGCAAAGTGGTACCCTCAAAACATAAATTTGGTGATAACATCAAATCGGACAATCACGGCAAAGGTGATAAATTGATCAGAAATATGAGAAGGACGAATTGATCGGGCCTAATCAAAGCATGAAACACACGTGTGCACTGATTTATGAGCGGCACGGAGGGTGTGATAGAGGATGTGGCGCATTCATGTGCAAATTAAGAAACGCACCACTGTTGAGACACCAGCCCGATCATTCAAACATCATCGGAGCCCGTCTTAAACCGCAGTACCGAACATTGCACGGCAATACCGCCCTATCAACCGTACACTTACGTGATTTGCTGTTCGACCATGTCTGTACTCAACCACGAAGCACCTCTTTCACCACACAAATAACTGCGCCGTGTTGTTACATTTGTCCTACGTGCCACGGCACGAAAAGAAGTGCTCCGCATTTTAAAACGGTTTCTGCTCCGAATCGCAATTGACCACGAATTCGATGGCGCAGTTCTTCGTTCTACAGAACAGCAAAATATCCGCACACGGTGTCTGCGTTGCCTTCAGCGCTCGTGTGTGGTACGGACCGGCAGTGCAACACGGGTAGTATTTTTTGGTTGCCATTCGTGCGCACAGTTACCACGGATAGAACGGCGTGAATCATCCGTACCTGTTTTTACGAATCGAACGGAGTGTTGAACACAATCAAATGGGCGAACCGCTGTTTCGCCGTGAACCTGTAAATTTAAATTCTATTCGCTGAACGATTTGGTGATGATGCCGGCCCTCGGCTGATGATCATATTGCCGCTGATCACGCTGCGTTTGATGACCGAAAAAACGTGCAAAAAGGTACAAACACCAAGAAAATGTGCAAAAGAGAATATGAGCACTGGTTGAAGTGTGCACCGCTGCCTTTTTCTCGTGAACACACCACAGAAACGTATTCAACGTGGTGCGTTCATTTCACTGAACGGGAATGTGCACTTCAACGCACCTGCTGTTGCGGTAGTGCCGATCAACTGCCCAAAAATTTATGTTTGGCGATGGAGGATGGGAACAGGAATGTCACGTACAAGCCGAGTGCTGGGCATATTTGTTCTTGTTGCCGAGCAAACCTCGTAGTGCGCACGCATCCGGAAATTAGCACACTGTAGAACACACGGGTGCGTAAGCTGTGCGAAAATGAACGGTCATCAAACCATTTTAACCAGCGTTGAGGTGCAAGGAGCGTTGGTGCGCCTTCCACAAAATTTATCTGCTGCTACAGCCGGTCATTTCCTTGAAATGACCAATTACTCGGTGTATACGCCGATCTCACGATCTAAAATACGCCTGGTGCTTCGAATAACGTGCCCTAATCATTGGTTGCCCATTCATTCCGTGCTATGTTACCGGCAAAGGGCGTTGTTTAACCTGTAGATTTCTATTGGGTGCTCGGTACGCGTGTTTTAAGCACGGTATTGTGCTCAGCAACCGCATTCTATTGGTAAAACCAAATCAACCACGACAAGGATCACCATTAGCGATCAGCACATCAATGATTGACGTGCAATACCGTGCCACGCACACCAATGGCGCGGTATTATCATCCCTTGTAACACAACTACAATCAAAAAGGAAACTTTTCAGTTTTACAAAGAAAAAAAGTATTTAAATACCCTCTGTGTACAGGCAGACCATGCATGAGACAAACCACACCGAAAAGTATTCGTCAACCTACGAAAATGCAAAAAATGAGGACGAGTACGCCAAAGGCTACAAGGAAAAGTACAACGATGAAGTGGGGTACGATACAAACAGCGAGTACGATGCAAAATACGAAAATGCCCGTTTAGTAGTTAAAAATACTCCGAATACAAATTTATCTTTTGGTACAAATAATCGTTTCGAAAACGTGAACCGTTTTGAAGACACGAACCGTTTTGAAGACACGAATCGTTTTGAGGGTGGAGACCATTACAGCGAGAGTGCAAACTACGACGGTGACGTATACAAAAAGGAGAAGTTGTACGAGGAGAACATTTCTAATACGAGCAGCTTTAACGAGTTGAGCGGTGGGTTCGGCGCACTGAGCAACGACGTGAGCACCGGAAGCGAGTTTAAGCCGGAATACAAGGAGGGCTTTTTTCCAGATTTCAAGGAAAAGGAATTCGGGAGCAAATTCAAAACCGAGTTCATAAACATTGATGAGATGAGCGAGCAGCCTTTGTACGTGAACGCCCATCAGTTCAACTGCATACGCAAGAGGAAGTTGCGGAGGGACTTTTTGGACAGTATCACCAGGCCAAAGAGCGTCAATGGGAGCGGCTATCTGCACGAGAGCAGGCACAGACACGCCATGAACAGGCTGAGGGCGCCCTCTGGACGGTTTCTGACCAAGGAAGAGGCCAAGGAGGTGAGAATGAAAGAGAAGAAGACGTAGTTGAGCGGTGTTTCGGTTTGCTGTTGCGCATGGTTTTGTAGTTGTGGTTCGGTTGATCGGTATTGTAGATAGAAAGAAACGATTTATCAGTCATTTTGATGTAAATTATTATTACGTATAATAAAACGCACATTAATTGCTTTGGTTTTGCACAACATGCAAATGTTTTTGTGTGTACTTTCGTTCTGCAATCCCCTTGTTCGGCGTAAAAGAATTATTGCTTATTTCCGTTTTTGAATATAAAAATTTTTGTGGAGAACAACGGAGGTGTAAAGAGGGCGTGGTTCTGTTCGTTCAGCAAAAAGTACATGGGAGGAACAACGGAGGTGTAAAGAGGGCGTGGTTCTGTTCGTTCAGCAAAAAGTACATGGGAGGAACAACGGAGGTGTAAAGAGGGCGTGGTTCTGTTCGTTCAGCAAAAAGTACATGGAAGGAACAACGGAGGTGTAAAGAGGGCGTGGTTCTGTTCGTTCAGCAAAAAGTACATGGGGATGCAAGGAGCAGCAGATGAAGCATAAGTACGCAATTGCAGTAAAAGGGTGGACCAAATAAGCGAACTTCGCGTAAAAAATGAAAGCGTACCAGTTAAATCAGAGATGTGATCGCGTACACGCACGGTTATTCCTGAAATCCTTTCTGTTTGGTACGGCTCCGCCTCACAACCATGGCTAGCCGATTATCCTGACGTACCCACCCAAAATTTTTTTACGATGTGATCAGTGATATTTCCCTTCGCTGTGATTCTATCCTTACGATTTAGACCGTGTGACTCGATCATTGAATCTAAAACTGCTCATCATGATTTGTCTTTCTGGATTTAGCCGTTTCTAAAATGTCTTTATAACCAAAAACATTTGTTCATATTCACATCACCTCCGCACGCCACTTCTACACGAGCAAGCTTTTTATGTCCGTTCCTCCATCAATCTCAGTTTATACGCACATTTCTGCTTCTTTCCCTTTAAAATTTTCAGCAGTGCATTTGTTCACGCCATCTTTACCGTTTCTATGTGTATAAACCAGTTTTAAGCAAAATTTACCTCTTTCAAACCAAAAAATGGGTGCATCACCGCGTCCGTTTTTTGGTTTATACCGAAGCAAGTCTTCGTGACTTGATGAGCGAAAGATGTGATGCAGTGCTGCAGGGAAATTAAAGTAATGAGCAGATTGTGTTATTTGAATGAGAAAGAAGTAAAATCTACGCATTATTTCAAGGCTACCGCAGTAACTCGATGGTAAATGATATTTCAAGGCTTAATACAAGTACGTAGTCAGCAAGCAATGCCGTTGTTGCAAAACAGGTAAGTGATGTCGTTCTATCTTGCTGATCGTTTTGCCTCGTTCGTGCTTGAAATGCTACCATTAAGTCACACGCACTGATTTGTATTACGCATACCACCAATAGATTTATATTCATACAGATCACGCTTTCCATCGCGATAAGAATTCGTTTAAACGTCTCATTATCGGTTTTGCCATAGAACAGCAGCATTGCTGCATGTACCAGTGATCGTTTGTTTGCTCTGGATTATTTATGTTCCGTGCCATGCCATTTACACCTCATTTTACGTACCGAACAACATACTGTTCAGCAGTTCTACGGGCTTGTTCCATTTTCAACCGATCTTCACAGCCTTTCAACTTGATGTTTCCACGTTGTACTCCCATTACTTTATTTGCATCTCATTCAGCTGCTGCTCTCCCTATGCTAAGTCATTACATACCGAACCGAGGCCTGCATTTTGTTCACAAATATTATCACCTGATTATTTTGCTACATTCACGCACAGAATGTCTCAATGATCTGCTGTTTTATCATAAATTATTACTTTGTTGCATTATTCTATAGGTTCTACAATATTTGATGTGTGCATAAGTATTTTATACTATTATTTCCTTTTTTGGAAACTTGTTTATTGGCCGACCACGCTCTCCCAGCGATAGACCATCCGTGACTGAAACCTCAGATCAAGACGCGATTGTGATGTACACGCGAGCAAAATGTCAATAAATGACAGTTCTCGGCCATAACAGCAATTTGTTCCCGTGGCACAAAAGCAAAAAATCGTATTTTTGTTCATCTACACGGCACTTTTAGTAAAAATCTTTCTTTCTTGCCCATTTGGGGAAGAGGCGTTGTGTCAAAACAACTTTTCTGTGCGCTGCACCTGGTACAGAAAGAAACGCCTTTTATTCCTCATTTAAAACATTGGATATGTGCTAATCGCTATAAAATACGTGCTGTCCTCATATTTAGCAGTGATGCCCGCACGAACTTCCTAACTAAATGTTTATTTAATCACTCTGGAATTCTAGGATTACTTATTCTGCATTGGGCAGTCGCACATAGTTGCTCTGTTCCTCTCTCTTTCGTATTTGATAGCCTATCAACACAGAGATAACAACCACAAATCCAAAGAGCAGCACCTTTCCGATCGTTATGCCCTCCACAAACTCACCCATCATCTTCTTCATCTTCCTCATGAAGCCTCCCTTATCCTTCGTTTCGTTCTGGACGTCACTCTCCTCGTCCAGGCTGTTTTCGTCCTGATTGTATGAGGAGAGAACGATTTGTGGCGTTATACGACGTATCAGGACGGGGTTACGCGTAAGGTGCAAATGAGTGAGTGGGAGTATGTTGGTGTATGTGTGCTCGTAGTTGTATGTTAGGATGGATAGGATGTACGCAAGGATTACAAGCTGTAACATTGCTGGCCGTATTTTTTCTTGTTTTATGGTGGACATGAAACGAAGTGTTTTAATTTTGTTTTGTTACATTTCGCCTTGTGATGATCTGAGGACGCGAACGAATGGTTTGGCAGACAGAAGATGGATAGGTAGAGAGATTGCCCTTTACTTCGGCAGCCTGAGAAGTATAACACGCTGAGTTTTACAACAAAGGAGAACGAATCGTACCGGTATGATGAAGCATGTGTTCAAACGTGATTGTCTAGCACAGTTTGAGTTTATTTCTCTCGCAGGAGAACACAGGCCTAAACGTATGATCACGTGTAGATCACTGAGGATCGATCTGGGAGCATTTCGCGTTGTAGGAGCGTTCATATTTGAGCAAAGAAACGGTTCATGGTGCGGGCGTTCTTCTTGCTGTGGGAGAACAGATGAAATAGATAACGTACTTGATGGAAAGAAGGAGAGAACGATAAACGTACTTGATGGGAAGAAGGAGAGAACGATAAACGTACTTGATGGGAAGAAGGAGAGAACGATAAACGTGCTTGATGGAAAGAAGGAGAGAACGATAAACGTGCTTGATGGGAAGAAGGATAGAACGATAAACGTACTTGATGGGAAGAAGGAGAGAACTAACAACTTTGCACCCATTTAAACAATACCTCACATGTAGAACTACGTATATCGTCCAATACAAGGTGGAAGTACGTTATTTTGGTGCATACCGAATCTACACGGGACTAGAACATACCAATGGAATTACCACGTTGTGGGCGAAGAGAACTGGTAGATGAAGATGTTTAGTTAAACACAAAAGCGAACTAATCAAGGAAAAGGCGCTTTGCCGATCAATCACCGGTTCAAATAAATACCGAATTTACTCTTTGTCTCGTTTACACCGTGCCATGGCATATCTACACGGCGTAAACAGCTAATTTGATAAAAATACCTTTTTCTGTGCAGAAATAGATCGGATCAATCTACAAATCTGAACAGGCTTGCTCTTACAATGGAGTTAAAACACTGGCAAGTAAATTTACCTCTCAGACGAAGAACGTCAATCGATCTCCATGGTCGTATCAATAATAAATCATCTTCAGAGCAAAAAAAGATCTTCATGGTGATATATCCGTTTTCAGGCAAAGACTATTCTTACTTTTCGGATTTTTCATGATCAGCATGTGCCCAGATCATTTGTGCTTTCACATATTCTACATTGCTGCGATGCTGTCAAACATGCTCATCAACATCAGGGTGCTTCTTTGCATTGCCATCTGCCACAAACACTTCGTTATTGGGCCATAAAGGGTGGTTAACGAGCCATGAGGACTTGAGCGTGTTTAAGAAACGTAAAAATTAGTGCAATGTTGCGAGAAAAGTGTATGGCTATGCATCAGTGTGTATAAATGCCGTTTATGAGCAATTTAGGACTAAATTTACTTGCTATACACACCTATCCCTCGCGCAACTACACAAAGGTAGTTCGTACCATGAATGGATAACCTCATGGCACACAAAACCGTTGTAAAAGGTCCGTGAGCAAGGCACAGATTGGCAATTTATGGTAAATCTATCATTCTCACGTCCGGTACCTCACCGTGTACGAGCATGTGCCCGTTCATGGAACTGTTTCTTTTGAGAACATCCAATCGTATCGCTGCATATGCCGCCTAAGTTTGATGCGTTGGTTATAACGCCGCATTTTCACGGCAGCTCCATCAATTTTCGATGAACTTTTAGCGATCATTTCCAGCCTCATTCTCAGGCATGCTTTTGTGAGTAGATCCATTTTTTGATATGATATTAGGTTGAAATCATTATTAAGATAGAATCCATGCTTTTTATCACCATCCGCTTCGTTGATGATGGTTCTCTTCTCAGTGCTGCATACGCTTTGTTTCCTAAAACTGCTGCTATCTGTTAATGAGCTGCACCCACACATGTATGATCCTCTTGTCGCTCATTGACACGATGTTTTACCGTATGATACTCTAAGACTACCGCTACGTTCCATTTTATTTCTTACCAAACCTAAAAACACCGCATTTCTGTGCCGTTGAGCTGCCCTAAATGCCTCCTTAATCCATTTCGCTTTCTTTCAACTGTCAATCACTGCTATTTCTCTTTCTTTCTCATTTGTCACACAAAGATCAAAAACTATAAATAAAACACCCCTATTCAAAACAAAATACGGAAGTGAAAAAATGTCATATCTCAATCTCAGCAGGAATTATACATACAGCGATCTAGACCAAGCATACAAGCAGGCCATCAAGAAGTACCATCCCATAAGAACGAAGACCAGCACGCACCTCTACAAGATTACAAGTGAGTACAATTACAAAAAGAATCAGTTGAAGTATAACGAATATAGCGTAAGGGAGGTTAGTGTTGATGAGATTGAGAGAGCGCTTTGCCAATGCGGACACAGGTATGACTTGGAAATGGAAAATGATGATATTGTGGAGTGCTGCTGGTGTAGTCTAAAGGTAAAGATAGTGGGTAGGAATAGGCTTGAATAGCAAAATAAACGAATTGCTGCAGGTTTTTGCTGTTCTGTGCTGTTGGGCACTACAGCACCGATCTAATTGGAGGGAACCGGGAGAGTGGCCCTACCAACGTGTAATAATGACGAATTCATTACTTTAACCGTTGTTTACACCTGGCCGTAAAATACGATAGATCACATCATTGCTATGCTTATACGTGGTAACCGTCTGCACTGCGTGTCACATTACAAGAACGATCTGCAACGAAACATTCCATCATTTGTGTATTTTTGCGTCTTACTGTATTAGCAGGCCATACGAACCCAACATTACACCAAAGTACCATTTTCAAACATTTAGTTGCTGCCAATTTGTCGGTTCGTGCCTGCAAATTGAGCCTTAAAACATTTTGCTGCACAATTTAAAATACCGTTCAACGGCTCGTCCGCATATGGTCAAATGGACATTTCTTGTGAGAGAAACATCCACCAGCAATATAACGGAAAGAACATTATTTTACGATTTTTGCGATCAAAACGATGTATCGATCGCATATATCCGTGTTAATCACCTTTTGCGCGAATGTGTCAGAATGTGGGCGCATCAAACTGAGAACATATAACTTGCAATTTATTTTAAATCAGGTTCACAAAATTTGATACGGCCAATTGGCGGTGCTGCGGTTACCCCAGGTTTGCCCGTTAACTCAGGTACCTCCCCTAAGCGGTATGGTAGAGAATCGTGTTCTGTAGAATCACAAGATAGAATATCAAACATGGGTGCACATCAACGGTGAGCAAACGTGTTTTGATAAATGTGTTTAACACGATTCGTCTTTTTGATTGTAATTTATTTAAAATATTTTTTTACACTCTTCATTTTATAGCGGTGCCATCTCTGCAAGAAAAGTGCGTTTTGAGGAGATAAATGAATGATTTATAACGAAAAAAGATGCTCTGCCTTTTTTACGGAAGGAGCGACGAGCAACTGCCCAATGATCTTAAAGTTGATCTGACCAAAACGAAATATGGCGCAAAGGTTTTTGTTCTTCGTGGCAGCGAACGGCAGATAGTGACCACATGATTTTCTTGAAACATTTCTCATACAGAAAAAAATATGGCAAAGACGGAGAACGAGTGCATTAAAACCACAAAAACGCTGCTATCGTGGTCTTTATGAGCGAAAAACGGCCTATGTATCTCTAAACGTACGATATACGAGTGGCTGATCATATTTTAATTATCCACCTGTTACGCTCCAACGGTTCAACCTCTATACATGTTTGCTACGTAGTGAAATACGTGACACAGTGGTAGACCAACGGGATCGATACGACAAATAGGATAAAGCATAAGATCCACACAGCAGGCAGGGCATAAAGCATTTCCTGGGGACTCTTTACGAACACATATCCGTTGAAGTCAAGCACATACGAGAAAATGAACACGAACGTAACCAAATACACCAGCAATATGCACCGCAGGCTTCCAAAATCGCACAGGTTTGTCGTGGCATGCATTATACCGGATAGAACGGCTCCTAGCACGATGTAAATCTTGGTGTAGGTGAACGTTAATTTGTAAAAGTCGTTGGCTGTCGATATGACCGCAAAAAGCGAAAAAAATAGCGAGTACACGAAATGCGAAATATCGTAGCGAACAGCAAGGGAGTCCACAAAAAACACCCTGAAAATAATGAGAACGAGTGCCAAAGCAGCGTGGTTAAGCTTCCGATCCACCATGACACTTTCAAAAATGTCATCGATTGGGGCCGACCCAAATGTTGTGTAAGTGTCCAAGGAATATACGAGCGAGCACAGGAACAACACCGCAAAGAAGAACAGCAAATTGTCCTCCTGATCATACAACCCACAGAGACATGCTACAGTAATTGTGAAGAGCGCAAACACCATGTGCGACTGCCGTGATGCCATCTGATAGACCAGGTAAATGGTGAGAAAATCAATAAATGAAAGCATGAATGCCAGCAACACCTCCATTGTATTCACTTTTTTGATGTTATAATATCTCTTTGCTACTATACACTCCGTAAAAAGGCACGAAACATAGACAAGAGCGAACAAAGGAAAATGCGCGTATTCCTTGTATTTTATCTCCAGATTCAGGACAACATACGCGGCAAAGTAAAGAAACATTCTGACGAGTGTTTTAGCAATGAAGTTCATGAGGGGACCCCTCCAAATTTTCAAAAACTATGTTAGACATGTACTTCCACGCTCGGTCTTTTGGCGAAACAACGACACGATGCAAAGGCTTTTGGACCTTCTGTGGCGGAAAGGATCCTAGGAACGATGTGCAGGTCGGGTCAAGTTGAGTCAGCGTTCTATGCTTGTTCTATGCTCAACGTTTATATAATTAACATTTTTTATAATTCTTGGCCCAGGTTCATACGCCCGAAAATGTTGCAAGCCTCAGTTTGGCTCGTAATAGCAGTCCTGCTTGCAATCTTTCAATTTCTACTGACACAAAGAGCTAAATTCATTCCAGTAATCTCTTGCTAGAATAAATGACAGAACAAATGATACAATACCGTATGCCGTTTACTATGGGTGGTACACGTGCAAATACAGTTGATCTATGCGTTCTTTGTTTGCTTATCTTAACAGTGTAAATCGATCAAAACTTTATTTTCAAATCAAATATCGCTTCAGTTTCGCTCTTTGAGCATATTACAGAAAATTTACTGTTGTTCTTCCTGCACGCGCAATTCTTGACGGCTAAAGCTACACATTGTGGACAGCAAATTATGTTATACGCGTATAAATACACATTCGTGGTGCTCAAACATTCTACGGTATCATTTTTACGCACAATTCTTACATTTGGTAATAAATTTTCCTTTTACGAGTCTTAATCAAAAACTTGTCTTACTGGGAATATTTTAGATTATTTATTGTTCTAGCCTGGTGTAGCATTGTAAATGCCCCACATAGAATCGTATGGCGATATGAAAATAAGCTGGTCATCAAAGCTTATCATGAAAGTCTTGGGCAAGAGGCTGTACAATGTGCTTTTGGAAACAATAACCGGAAACAGCTCCATTTTTTGGATTGTACTAGTTCTGTTCAACCTATTTTTGTGCACAATGCAGGTCTATTTTATAAGAAAACTGGTTAAAAAAACAAGAAAGATCGATAATGACGAAGTATCCTGTTCATGTGCCGATGAGTGCAAGACTACTATGTGTTGTGGAGAAGGTAAAAACACCGAATAAAAAACATTTCTAACGAAAACGTGTTCGCAAGACATTCTGAGCTAGCTTGGTCTCTGAAACAGCTCATGTTAGTTGCGCTGTAACATCAGAGCAGTACAACATTTACTACTACACTTCAAAAGAAGTATGCTGTCAGTGCGAACGCCTCATCCGAATTGGTGGATAGGTAAGAGCCTTCAGCCCGATAAGAGCCTTTCTCTCGACTAAACAACGACTCGCTTGTCCAAACGTATTATATTTAACTGATTTTGGCGCATGCAACACCACGCGCTATGAACCGCCACAATTTACTTAATTTATGTGCTTGGTTGATAATTTTAATCCGCTTTGCCAATAAGGCAAATTCTGTCATTTATCAACATGTATACGCCCATAGAACATGGAAGGTTTGCCTACGTACGAAGAAGTGGTATCAAAAAACCTCTCACGAATGATCAAACAATACGAATTCCGCCAAGCTTTTGATTTGGCAGTCATAAAAGTATATAGGACGCATCCGAACGCCTTCTTGTGCATTATGCTCTTGTTATACATCATAAGTATAATTTTAGTCTATTTTGGAATAGCGCACATGCGCAAAAAGTGTAAAGACACTCGTGACATTCTATACGGTAAAAAATGTCATGATATACCGATATATGCAACGGAAACCGGTTTGTACTGCGAAGACACCAACAGTTCTTTCTCATCCGGTTCTATTGACAGTCTTGAATCACGTATCACAGAAATTCTTTTTTTTTATGAAGATGAAGTGAATGATGGTAAAAAAGTGGTCTAAATTGTGATTTACGAATGTATTAAATTGATTTTGACAGAGTTTGTGTAAGCCGAACCGCGTATTTATTCCTGGACAGTACACCTCCTAGGATTATGCTCTCACATACGTTTCTTTTAATTAGAGGCACTTCGGTCCATCTCCTCATACAACAGCTCCCAGACAAGCATATCTTCCCGATACTCCCTCATATCACGTTATATGATGTATCCTTCGGGAGTAAAAATGATAAGTACTACCGAAGACCAAACTGAGAACGAATCACAGCTCAGAAAAAAAGGAAAGAGTGTTAGTCAATGATAATGCCTGTAACACGGCCATGCACGAGCGGTAAACTCATGTACAAAAGACCTGCATAACTACACTACCTGTGATCTACCATGGTCCAATGTAATGAGTTGCTGGTCGTACGATGCACTTTAAAGCGATATATGCCTTTCCAATTAGCAGAGAATTTGTGTTCATTGTTCATAATGACAGGATTTAATCAAATTAACTTTTTTGACAGACCACCACCATATCAATGGCAGACTAGCAGGTGTAAGATTCGTAAACTTGCTGTTTCCAGAGGGACTGTGCCTGCCATACAGTACGGGTAGATCTCATCATATTGTGCATATTTTGTTATTTAATTTGAAGTGGACTTAAAATTAGATTTGCCTTTATTTCAACCACGCAAATGAGCGCTGCATCTTAAAAATAACGTGGGCAATGTTTTCAGCAGATTTTAAACATGATTTGTCACATATTGCGGTTACCTTTCCTTGTTTTTGATGCTTTGCTCATAATTGTGCATCTTATGCCTTACACTCCTGCAACAGATGTCATGTAATAAATTTAATCTGTCTTCATATAGCTGCAGGAGTTCACCTCTAGATGAAGCATTTCTGATAATTGCAAATACAAGATGCGTTTTATCATCACTGCTTAACGTGCAACATAACTGTGATTAAAGGTTTTTCACCGAGTGACATTAATTTATCATTGCAACGCGGTATTCGCCATTTTGTCTCGGCAAAAATACTTTACACGAATTTTTCTAGCAATTTATCGTGTTGAGTTGATCTTGAGAATTATCTTCAAGATAATTTTGGTTTAACATTTATATTTAGTGCACATTTTACAAAGGATTTCAAACCTGTGAGCAGAACGTTTATTTTTATTGATTTGGTTGGTTGTTGCATCATTTTGTGTGAAACGATGTTTTGTAGGTGAAATAAAGAGTTTGGTAGGATATGTGTGGTAATTCGAATATTTCGCTGTCGGTATAAGACTGGGCTCATTTAGTGGTATAAAGGTGTGATTAGTTAGGTTTATAAATATGAATTATTGATCATTGCCAACATAAATCGTTTTTTGCGTTTAGAAGTGTCTCAGTGTATCCGATTAACCTACAAGTAAATGCTGTTTACCTCATTGTTATGAGAAATACACGCTCTGACACACGAAAAAACACATAAGTAAACCAAAAGAATAAAACATGTCTAACTCTCCGCTGACTTGGCACAGATCACTTTCTATATTAAAATATATCAGAACCACGTTGAATGAACAACCAAGTTTATGGGACCGATGAGCACGAGAAACACGAAACGAATCGTGGAAGCAGCACTATAACATCACAACAAAAGATAAATTACAGTAGCATTGTGCTGTTCTATTTTCCACGTGTAACATTTTCCCGTTATAGAACGCATCTTGCCACGCTACAACATTTCTTCTATCGATAAAACCGTGTTAATCCTGGAATAGACAGGTAGAACGGGAATACCAGCCATCTTTTATTCCCATTTGTACGGTAAATTGTAGAATGATATTTTGGTCAGGAGGACAACTCAGGCGAGTGAAATCTTGCTGATGCAGATGGCACAACGAATGTCGACAGTCTAGATCTCCTTCAACACCACTACGATGGAACCGCTCAAATAGGTATACTCATCTTTAGTGCGCAAAACTAAGGATATGCATATAAACAATGTAAAATCTTAAAAGATCTGACACTTCATTTTTTTGTGCTCGTAAATTTATATTCAAGTCATCCGTCTAAACTGTAAGCCAAACATTTTATTCGTTGAATTCGTTCAATAATGCCTTAAAATCGTGTTTTTCATCAAAACTCAAATAAATCTTAGTTTAATTATGAACTGCATTTAATTCTGTAATTTTTTTGATACTCCAAAACATCACAATATGACAGGTCATAGATATCTATATTTGCTAGAATTGATACTATAGTGCACATACAACGTGTTATTCCATGATCCAAACATCTAATCTCTTTTTTCATGTGTATGAAATATTCCTCCGCACGTCATCTTTCATTATTCCTAATATGTTCGAAGGCACGTTGCCAGCGCAGAAATGAGTGAGATAATGGATGAATATGTTCGAAAATAGTCTGTGCTATAAATGACAGCTTCAGAAAAATAACATTAATGCCATTTCGCAAATGTCACTATAAGAACCGAATCCCGATTTTGATCACGGACACATTTTGGGCAAAATTCAAATCATAATATAATTTTGCTATATCTTTGATTTTTCACGTTGTACAGGAGGACATACAGCACACATTTGATAGAATACCAAAGAAGAAATTCACTAAAGCTAAATTTTATTCATTTCCGTCCATAATTAGATATCTTTTACACATCGTTGCCATAAACCTACCATTTGATATAAATGCCTTTATTTGACCGGTCTATTTATCCTGTAACCAGCAAAAGCCGTTCATCTTGAGATATCGTCGTTTTACGGTTTAATATGTGCAATAACACATTATACTTTGCATTTTTGTCTTTCAATTTATCACGATGACTTTTGAGTGACATTTATTGTAAAAATTATCAGTACATTATAGGAAAAATGACATGTGGAACACTTAGCGATGAGCTTTGATATTTAAAAAGAACTTAATCATATTTTGACGGCAATAAATGTCATATCGGACATATAAGAGAAAGGTTGCTCATAATCGCATGACAAAGTTCGAGAAGTTGGACATTTTGGCAAAACTGTCGGTCAAATACAGCGAATCGAGTGATGAAGCGGCACAAGCATACGATAATGGACAAGATGCGACAGATACTGTCTTAAAGGGGGGAGATAATGACAATGGAGTAACACACAGGAAGTATAATTGTGATATTAGATACATGAAAGGTGAAAACGAGCAATCTGGCGATAAAGCATCCGCACATAATGAGGCTAATGATGAAATAACCAATACAACGAATGAATTGGCTTTGACAGACAAGAACCAAAATGGAGGTGTTACTGACGAGATATACCACGCTAACGACTCAACAATCAAACATAAGCTATCGCCTGTCGAGATATACTCGGTGAATGAATGTAGCAGATCTGAACATAGCGTTGGAAATTTTGCGGAAAAGAGCAGTCTGAGAAAACATTATGAAAGATATGGTAGAAAACAAAAAGCATATAAGCGCAACTGCATGGTCACAGTTCAAGATTATCGATCCATGGATGGTTCATATGACGTAAAGAGTGCTGTAACAAGCTCGCACGACACGCACGCTTTACAAGAGGAGTACAAGATGACAGATCTTAAAGTCAATAGCAACATGTACAGGCCATCACGAGGCATATATGATGATGATATCGATGATATGGCGTCAAAAAACTCCTGTCACAACACACGTATCAACGATATGAGCACGATGAAACACATGAAAAAAGGGCCTCCTGTTGAGTTTCTTGGCAGTTCTACGTGCAACTTTGATACAAATGACCGCTTTACCGACATGTTTTGTGCAAAAACCGTAGGTGAAGAATGCGCTCTCAATACCCATCGCTTTTCTAACGAAAATATTAGCGAAACTGGCTGGATGCGAGGCAGAAAAACTATAAACAAGTATTCTCTGTGTCATATATACGGTAATATTGAAGCGATGCCTAACCATGTACATAACGAGCTTGATATTCCGGTAACGAAACACAGTTTTGTAAATAATTCGGCTCCATGTCAGAGACCAACCAAGTTTTACACCTCAAGAGGCGATTGTTTTCAACAACAGGAGAGCATCGCTGACAGGTCTGGGACAAAGCCGGCTCATGAACTCAGAACGTTATATGCAAAGTTCAAGACAAAGTTAAAAACTTACGAATATAATGAGTACAGGAACCTCGACTATCTCATAAGTATGATCGAAGACCTGAGCGAGAGAAAGAAAAAATCACAAAAAAACACGCTGTCAAACAAAGCAAAGAAAATACTGCATTCCAAATGTGAACTAAGGCGACGAACCGCCATAAATTTGGGATTGTTGGCAATATCAGATTTTATTGATAAAACGACCGCATCCAAGCGCAATAAGAAAAAGATAATATTTGGTGCTCTGCAGCTCATTCTGAAGCTAAAATTGGAAAGTTTGAGTTCCTAGGTATTTATTTAAAGTTAGTATATTTATAGGCTAGTTAATAAAAGGCTTTAGCAGGGACAACAAGCAAAGCTATATTCTAATTAAATGAGGTGCATCTGCTCGAAGTGCTCAGGCCAGATTATTCAGGCAGGTGAATTTATCCTCACTTGATCCATCCTATAATCTATTTTTTTGTGTCGTTACACGCACGATGAGAATTATTGCTGTGACATTCTCTTGATGGAGCAGAATGAGTTGCCGCCTAAAACTATAAAAGTAGAAGCGTGCCGCAAGAATAGAAATTCAATCAAACTCGCACAACGCCGGAGCTGCACCTGGTGCAATCAAAAGTCCTGGGTTATTCACAAACAAATACTGGCTTAAGGCCAGTGAGAGGCATTTAACACGATTGCAATAAAAGCGCTGTTGAAACGTATCTTAGAGATATTGACCAGCCATGGTGAGGCTGTCACAGTACGTTTTAATTTTCTATACCTCATGGCATGTACCAGCAACGATGTCACGCTCTTTTAAGGAATGGTACAAGTGACATGTTACCGTAAAATCCTCCACTTCCCTCAATGATCACGCTCTTACAGTTCGTAACAAATGTACGAGGCGAAAAAAAAACAATCCTAATCAACTGAACAAATGAATGCGGAGTCAAACGTATTCGCCGAACAAAATGAATCTTAACAGTGCTTTGGATGCAGTAAAGGTACAATACCATTTCCAACAGGTTTATTTTTTGCAGATATTCCTTTAGGTATCCTCTGGTCCAGGAAGCACCGCTGATTCCCAGGGACTTTAGAGCCATCCATCAACCGATTCGCATTACCTGAGCCCATGTAGGCATTTTCCTACCTATTATTGGTATGAAACGTCGTAATAAATGATGAACGTTAAGCAACTACAAAAAAAAGGAAACTACCGATATGATGGCATATAATTCCATATTTTGCACAAAAACTGTCACCTGTAAGAAAGACCGTATTTATCGCTATATCAGCGCGAATCACGGCACACAAGATCAACTGGTGCCGAACAGGCTGCAAAACCGCGCCATAACAACCAAACATCAGCAGATAAAGCAAATAAGTTTTAATCGTAAATCTTGAAACCAATATCGTTCGCATATTCCCTAAAACACCGTCTACACATGTTCAACCCGTATTTCCTGATCAGTCCGTTGTGCGTAAAACACGATCGGCAGCTCCTACTTCCCTTGCCGTAAGCCTTTCTCTTAACTATGAATTTTGTCTCTAAATCTTCTTTGTATTTAATCACCTCGGTTCGCATGTTATTTATCGGAGGGCTAAAAATTTTTAGAAATTAAGGCTGTGTGCTGAGACCAAGAAATTTATTTGGTAAGTGGCGAAAACTCGGCTTGCAGAGCGAAACACGTGGAACGGTATGTAGAGACTGAATAATTGTGATCATACAATGAAAAAAGTGTAAAATCTGAGATTGCTATTTGGTATGATCATCGCAACCATATCAGATGTGTCAACACATTTTAGCTATACACAAGCGAAACAGACACGCGACATACCTGCCACGCGTGGTATAGCGCTTTAAAATAATACTTTTGACCCGCCAAACCGTCCTACAGAAAAAAGGCCATCTTTGTGCATCTATTCATCTCAAAGATGAAGCGCAACACCGACAAGGCACACAGAGAAACAAAAACGCGCCCCGTTAGCCCGGTGTTCAAAAAGTAAAACATACAAGTCCTTAACTCATGAAAATTTACCTATTAGATTTGGCAACCCTCTCAATCTCATCCCTTTTCTTAACCGCATACGAATTTGCCGATGCCTTCGCAGCAGCTACGAGCTCTTCGGCGATGCACTCGGCAAAGGTCTTCAGGTTCTTCATTGCCGATTCTCTGATACCCTTTGACAGGAGAAACAGGGCAATATTGAGCCTTCTAGTTGGAGAAAGATCGACCGATGTCCTTTTCATTGCACCTCCCCTGCCAATACGTGCTGAATCCTCTCTTGGGCCTGAATTGACTATGGCATCGACAAACACCTGCAAAGGACTCTGGCCGGTTAAAATATGAATGATTGTGAAAGCATCTTCAAGACACTTCATTGCCAACAGTTTCTTGCCGCTGTTCCTTCCCTTTTTCATAAGATAGCAACAAAATCTCTCGGTGATAGGTATGCGGCTCTTTCCGTTGTACTGTCTCTGCAGCCTACTTGCAGTATGCGGCACGATGACGGTTGAGTCAACGTTTATGAATGGCTTGAGCGTTACATCGTTTACCTCTACGCCCTTGCATGCGAATTTATTGAACAGTTTGCACTCCGGTACTTCTTGTGCAGCCCATGACATGGGATGGACAAAAATTTTTTTATTTTACAAAAACTGAAAAATGTGAAAGTGTTAAACCGACACGAGAACACTGTTCACCGTGGTTTGCACAACGCGTGCAGTACGACAGGAGTGAGCAATGCTCAATAACAGAAAGGTTCAGGCCTGTTGGTCGGAAGGAATCAACTGTACATGCCGAATCTGTTTATAAACGGAAGTTGTCCCAAAAGTGTCTCAGTCTCTCAATAAATGAAGCAAAGAATAGAATTAACTCAACGCATAGCAAGAATATTGTGGAACAATGCAACCGGCAATAAAAAGAAGATGCTTTAGCGTGGTAGAGCAACAAAAACGAAGAAGTACATTCATATTTGCTGCCATAGGTAAATTGTTCTTCATGTTGTGGAAGAACGACCAAATAACTTCTCTTGTACGTTAAATGTGCAGTTAAATACGTTTTTAGCTACAAATCGCTTGTATATACCGATAGTAGACCAAGAAGAACAAAATTTATCAGATAAAATGAGCTAATCACCGCGGTAACTTCACATACGTTTTTTTTATAAAAAGCCAGTTATTTACCTTCTCGCACCATCAACACTCAAGAAAAATACTTTTCTAGTGTGCTGGGACCGATCGCAAGCATTTTGTCACTAAAAATCGTTTAGTTATCGCCTCAATTCGCAGACACGTAGAAAACTTTTGAATAAACTTCCAGATCAAAACATCAGCGGTTATATCTGTGAGCGGTATAAATCGTATGCCGAGCCGATTTACTCAAACTTATCGGCACTTTTTGTGTTCTACGCAATACTTTTTTGTAAAAGATAATTGAACTTCTTTGAACACGCTGTCGTGGTAGCATATTTTGCTGTGCGATGGGATGATTGCGCTAGAATGGGGCATAGTATGAAGATGGCATGCACATCCATCACGACATTCAGAACGTTTTATCTTAGCGATTCGTGATTGATAACAAGAAAACAGCGATTTATCTAGGAAATGGTCCGTTGTACAGGTTTGTAATATATTTTATCCGTTCGCACAACCGGATCACTCCGCTAAGTGTGTCTCTCTTACAACGCTTGCGTTTTGATCACCAGCGAATCGTTCTGTCCTTTTTTGCCACGCGCAGAATTCAACTAAACATCCGTTGCTCGTCAAAAAACCTGTACCGTACCATTTTTTTCGTTCTATACCACCCCTTACGAGGAATACCAGAAAATTGCCGCGATGAAAAGGAAGAGAATCACGCTGTGTGTAAGAAAGAAAACGAAAAAGTGTAACAATGCATCGGCTGATTGTGTGAATGTGTTATCGGAGAAGAAAAGAAGCACCATGCGTATAAAGATTGGCAGACAGGGTGCTGGGGGATGCACTAAAGGCATTATGAATGACTGCCGTATTGTGGCACAGGATGAGGTACTTGATCAAGTATTAGTTGAAGATCAGACGGAGAAAATTGATGAAGAAAAAAGGGAGAAAGTGAGAGGAAAGGCACAACTTCGTGCAAGGAAGGGAAAAATGGCTGGGAACAGGAACGAGAAAGAGAACGTAATAAATCAAGGGATTGTGAATGAGCAGGTTTCGGAAGATCGTGGCATAGCAAAGAATAAGACAATTCGTGAATCAATAGATCGTGCGAAGAAAGCGCTGAATGCAAGAAGTGTGTCTAAGGCTACACGAAAAAAGACGGGAAGTACGGGTATAAGCACTGTGAAGGGTGGTGTTAAACAAGGGATCAGAATTGGGCCTAAGACAATTTGTGCGGAAGATGGCACAGTTGGTAGTAGCGATGGCATTATCGGAGTGAAAGGAGTTAACCTGGAAGATGATGATACGAAAGAGAAAGAAAATTTAAATAGCGCGGTCATTGCAAACAAATCGCAATCAAAGGCTGTGGACTATCCGGTCGTGGTCGGTAGATCCGACAAGTCAGTAGGTAAAAAAAGGGTAGTGAGCGGGCGTGGCATCGAAAGGGCTCGTAAATTGAAAGGGCGCACTGTGAAAATATTGCAGAAAGGTTCCAATCCAGATGAAATAAATAGAAAGGTGATTAACAACACACCAAGCGGGAATCAAAAGGATAGTTACCAATTGATGGAGGAAGCTGTAAATGCAGAACGATTGGAGAACCAGAACTTATCAGGTGAGCAGAGCGTGTTGTCGCCACAGGGTATTATCGACAATATCATGGAGAAAGGATCTGACTTTGATGAGGTAATGCAAACAGTCATACAAGAGCAGTTTAGCGATCAAGTACAAGCAATTACCCGTATTATGTGTGAGGAGGACCATGCGCTCTTGATATTTATTGATCCATACATCGAATGTGTCGTTAAATCGCTCATAAAGACGCGATGTGCCGAGCACCACGATAACGTGCATTTCCTGGATGTGGATGGTGCCAAGGATGAAACGCTCTATGGCGAGTTGGAGGATCATTCCAGCTTTGCATTTCTAACCACCAGAAACGCAATGGTAGTTGAAAAAATGGAAAGACGGATCCGATCGCGGTTCAATAATGTCAAAATATTCTTCGGTTATTTGAAAGGATGCAAAATACCTGTAGAATTGATTAGGAGCACGTACCTGTCGCACAAGTACGGAGTGCAACGATGCGATTTCTACAATTTCTTGAAGGTATTTAAGCCCTTACACGTAGCCGTTATACTATGCTGGATGAAGAAGGGCCTTAGCAGGAGCAGGTTGGTGCCCACAATGAAGGACTTCCTTTTTAAAGTGAGCGAGATGAAAAATGTGAGCGATAAAGAAATAATAGACGCGTTTTACGAGGTTGAAAGCACCAAAATTGTTAGAAAGAACAAATTTAACGGTGATTACTACAAACTCGTGGAATACATAAAAAAGGAAATGCCTTTCTACATGAAAAGGCTAATTTAGCCATAAATACAGTTTCTATACGATGATGACTCTGAATGCGGTATAAATACATGCTTTCAGCGATAGGGCTGTGTTCTTAACTTCGATGATTTAGACAGTAAAACTGTTCCTAAGCCCAAAATTTAGAAAGCAAACACAGCGTCCCATTCAGCATTAAACACTTCTATTTTTTCATGGTAAAGCATTTATTTGTATGTCCCTCCACACGTAGCAGATTTTCTGACCAGCCCTTTATCCGTTCTGCGAGTGAATCGGAACGCGTGATCGCACATATTGTAGTTCCCACCGATTTAAATCGCTATTTACATCACCTCGTTAGCAGTTCTGATTCGAAATCGTTTCTTAAATTTATACGTCCCAAAATTTGCAATCACGATTGAGCCCCACAACAAATGCCGGACAAAAACGAAAATCTGCACAGGATAATTGAAAGGCTGCAGGAAATAGAGGAAGAATCAAGGAAGAACCTTACGGAAAAGGATATCGAAGAGGTAATGTATACGGTTAACAGTAGATTGCGTGTGAAGGAGGAGAAAGATGGAACAGTAGAAATGAGCAACATTGGAGAGTGCTACGAGAGTAAGGTGGAAAAGCCTCGGGTGTTTAGCGATGAGTTTTTCAAAAAGTATTGAATGCGCATAATTGCCCACCTGGTACATCAATTCTGCCAAACGCGTAGCATTTCAATAAAAGGACTTGTCGTACGTACCACAACGTATCATTTGAATGAGGCCGTTCACTCAGAAATATGTAAAGAGTACCATGTTCAAAAATGAAGCACTCATGGATGACAAATGGATGATTGAGATTGTAAATCCTGAAATTGTTTCCTCTCCTGTCAACATAAAAAACGTATGCCTTTTCGAAGTACAATGCTGATCATTTGGTTCTTAGAACGTTGTTGCCGTGTTTTATGGTCTTTGAAACGTTTGCTCTGATTGACCGCATAGATATAAAATGATTGAGAAGGTTAAGAAATGTGGCACAGTTGCACGGCATTGCAGTGATGCACTGGGCTCTTCCGATAATATGCATACGTACGTGTTCAATGTGTCTTTCTCTTTGTGGATATGGTTATTATAAGATTAATAAAAGCTGTCTACTGATTAAGTAACTGTGTTGAACCTGGAACAACTATAATTTGCAGCTCATTAAAATTTGAGAGGCAGCCTACCGATGTTTTGGTTGCTGAATCGGTTATTTACGCTCTTTACAACAGTTTAACGGAGAAGCACGACATGTTCTGAGCGTGTTGTACTGTACTAGGGCTAATGTTCATAGTAGATACCAGTAGTACCATTTTAGTGAGTATTCGCCGAGTCCTGAGATCGTTAAGCGCATGTTCACGCATCATCCTTTTCTTGAAAGTTGCGTTGACATCGTCCCTTTCCGCTCGACCTCGTTTTGATCAAAAATTTATTTGAAAAAAATTTAACCCCACCAAATGGGACGACGACCAGGAAGATGCTACCGGTACCAGAAAAATCGGGGATATATCAAGTCCAAGTACTGCAGGGGTGTGCCTGATCCTAAGATAAGGATACATGACATTGGTAAGAAAAGTGCGCATGTTGATGAGTTTCCGTGTATGATCTATCTCAAATCACTGGCAAAGGAGCAGATAAGCTCAGAAGCATTGGAGACAGCTCGTGTAACGGCTAACAAACACATGTTCGGTGCGGCAGGAAAAGACGGATACCATTATCGAGTACTGATCCATCCGTACAATGTTTTGCGAATCAACAAAATGTTGAGCTGTGCAGGTGCTGACAGGTTGCAAACCGGAATGCGAGGGGCATTTGGCAAACCTTACGGGCTGTGTGCTCGTGTCGACATGAACCAGAGGGTGTTGGCTATCAGAACCAAGCCAGCGTTTGTTAAGCACGCCGTCGAAGCACTAAGAAGGGCGAAGTACAAATTCCCCGGTAACTATGAGGTTGTGGTAAGCAATGAATACGGATTTACTGGGCTGCAAAAGGAAATATATGAGGACCTCAAGAATAAAAAGTTGTTGTTGAACAGAGGAGACCACGTCAGCATAATAAAAGAGAAGGGAAGCATTGCTCATTTTGCTAGGATGAGGGAACGTGCCATTTAATAAACTTTTATTTTGAGGATACACAGCGATTTAGTTACGGTATTTCGTGTGCAGGTCAATACCATTTTGTCTCCCACGGTACCATCATCCGTGTTTTCGTGCCATATGTGAGCCAAGGTGGCAGGTGCTCCATCGTTTGTTGTAAAATGTGAACAAAGGATTGGTCAAATTGATGCATTTGCTCGCAAATTCGTTTAGGCTCCGTTGTAGGCAGCGCCTGAGCACAATACTTGGCGGTATGGTTGTTAAAACAGCCCATGCTGAGTTAGTTTTAACGTACCAAGTGCCGCATTATCGATCAAGACAGTAATTCGGACTATACCGTAAGAAGTACGCAAAGAGAATTGAAAAAAGGAGATGTATCTGTTTGTAATGCTCAAATAAACATTTTATGGCACTAATGCTCGTTGTTCTATGTAAAAAAACATTTTACCTACTGATCTGGTGTAAAGATCTGCTTATACTGCAATGGCATGGTAATACAAGTTGACAACGTTGTTTCTATCACATGTGCTGCTTGTATGGTATGACCAAACAAGGCACACTTTCAGAAAAATGATATGCTGCAACCACAGCAGTAACACCAACACACAAGTTGTGGTCTGCACGAAACATTCTCTCAGCTGCAGCGCACATTATAGCATCGTTATAATACATCTTAAATTTGGTCCTTGCATGCCTGTAATGCTTATGAAATTTAAAATGGCATAGCGATGCGGTTTGTACGCTACGGCTGCGCGTGTGCCTTTCATCTCTCACCATGTAAAGAAAGAGAAAAAACGTAAGAAAAAGAAGGCCAAAAAATGATTTACTTATTATTTTTGAAGTCCTGTCGATATTGCGCCTTCTCAAGTGCCCTTGCATATGCCTGTGAGAAATTTGTCATGTCGTAAGTCGTCATCGATCGCTTCATAAACTCAATATCACGTGTCCAACTCACCACCTGCTCAACGACGTACATCATAAGATTGTCGTTCAGTGCCGTCCTTATCTTCTCAAAGTTCTCCAAGAAGTAGTGAATGTAGTACTCCTTGAAATCAAGGTTACTCATCAATGAACTGGACAAGTGAATCTTGTCCTGTGCTTTTATCGTTTTAGATACCATTAAATCAACCACTCGCCTGTAAACATCCAATTTTGTTGTCCGTCCTATCGCAACCAACACTTTCGAGCGAATCTCAGCTGTAGATTTCTTGTAGAGATCAATGAAATAACCGAGATCGTTGGTTGCCATCATCTTTTGCGTGTAGTAGGACAGAA